GACAGAATTCCATACAGTTCTCTCTAAATAATAAAGTCGGAGTCAGGAAAACAAATCAGAAACTTTCCTTTCTGGATTTATTTCAAAACCGTCTGCTCTGGGTGCTGGGAAGGAGTGACGGTCATCAGCGACTCTGTCTGGGGAGGGTGTTCCTTAGGGAATGGTTGTTTGCAGCCTTCCTTTTAAACCCTGAAGTCTGCCAGGACATCTGCAGTATTTGCTTAACATTTCTAACAGCATGACACTTGTCACACGTTTGCAGCCCGGTCACATTTTGACCTCAGACATTTTATGGACCGCTCCGCCAAAGACTCACATCATTGGAGCGTTTGACCTCCAAACCTGAAGTATAGATGCTTGGCAAAAACAACTGAGGAGGAGAGAAATGATGAGAGCAAAAACACATCTACTGTAATTCTCCTTGGCACGTGCGGTCTCTCGTCTGTACATACTATCGCTGTAAGTTACACATTCACGAGTAAGTCTCACGGCACACAGGGGGAGCCCTGCAAAGCCACGGGTACTGCACTCCCCAGGCAGAGTTCAAGAACTCCCACAAAGACTCTGAAGCTATTCAGTTCCCACCCTATGGGCTGCCTGGAGGTGCTGGCCTTTTCTCCCTTGTCTCTGTAGCCTTCAGTACACATCCAGCCCTCTCCTTTCTCTCGCCTCATCGGATGGCTCTACCAGAGAAAACGGAAACCCCGGCCTTCTCCCCTGACTACACAGCCTCCTTATCCTCTCAGCTCTCTCATGCTTGCACTCTTACTGGACTCGCCTTTTTATCTTAAGAAGGACCAGTGGGGCCGCCGGGATGGCTCAGTCCGTTAAGCATCCAACTTTGATTTCTGCTCAGGTCACGATCTCAGGGTCCGGGAACCAAGCCCCACATCGGGTTCCACGGTCAGTGGGGAGTCTGCTGAAGATTCTATCTCCTCTCCCTCTGCCCCTCCCCCCCCACTCATGCTCTCTCTCTCTCTAAAATAAATAACCTTTAAAAAAGAAAAGAAAAGGGGAAAAAAAAAGAAAAGAACAATAAAAGGACCATCAGGCCCTTGATGCTTACATCCCAAGACCACCAACTCCATGTCGTCCTTCTTTATGTTCTGTCCCGTCAAGACCCAGTGGCTGTCCTCTATATTGCCCTCCTCCCCACACTTGACGTTTTCTGGCACTGACCCCAGGCCAACATCACCAACCCCAAAGCTCTTGCTTTTCTCTGCCATTAAAATCACAGTTGTGGGCACAGGACAGTTGTTAAGAGCAAAAGATAAGAAATCAGACTTCTGCATGTAAATCTTTCTTACCTGTATAACCTTAGGCAGTCCTCTGTGCCCCACTTAATTTCCCCCTATGCCCCACTTAATTCCTCTGTAAAACAGGTATGAGGATAGTCCTTAGAGGCCACACGAAAGTTCAGCAAGAAAAAAATCAGATCCCAGGCCCAGAAGGATGTCCTCTGTTTGACAAGAACTAAATTTTTTTCGGACTCATGAACAACTTGGGAAATGTTTCCTGAACAAAGCACATGATGTCTCTCCAGCTGCAACCAACCCTTAGAGCTGATCAAACTCACACAAAAAGATGAGAGTCTATGGAACAAAAGGAATCGTTCACTGAGGCTGTCCATGGCTTCTTCAGCTGGGGTCATTACACTATTACAAGACACCAACTGGGCTTCTGTTTGGAATAATACAAAGTTGAAAAGCCCTAACAGTTTTCCGAAAGAGGGCCATCTGTTATGAAAGCCTCAGTCTCAGAAGAGCCGAATTGCTACTTTCCAAGATTTGAAATTGCAGGGAGTTCTTACATTGTTAAATGTTGCTACATTGCGGGAGGTTTTGAGTTAGAGCCCCTGAATCACCAGCATCCCCCAAATTCCCTCTGGCTCTAGAGAGAGGCACAGCCTTCCGCATTCTCATCTACTCTCCAAACACAGGTGTCTCAAACCTGTATGGAACCACCATCTGGGAAACTCTAAACTGAGTTTCCTGCCTTTTGGGGGCCCCAGCCATTAGCCAACTCCACCCCTAGAACGATGAACAACGAGAACATTCTCCTCGTTGCCAGAATGGTCTTTGGATCCAAATCCCAGGAATGACAGCTGCTAACCTCAGGCTGCTGCAGCCCCACACACTTCAGCTCGGATAAAACCTTGCCCCACCTCTCTGCCCTGACCAGAGAGGATGGGAAAATCTTCCTCCTCCATTGCTCCCAGCCTTCAGGGCATCCAGCTCCTGGCCCATGCCTTCGCTTCTCATTGCTCTGGGGCTCCTGGACTTAGAAACGTGTTTGTATCTGGTTTCTCCAGCTGCTGACCCAGCTTTCCCTAAAAGGCTCTGGCAGAGGCTCAGCCCGTGGGTCTCCTTGCCTCAGGCCACCGACACAGTTCATTTCACCTCAGCAAACTCATTGCTGGGGCAGCCAGCTAGAGTCCCACAGGGAAGCCAGAACTTGACCCTCCCTGGTCCTCAGACTCCTTCAACTACACCAGTGAGTCTAATCCTCTGCGGGGAGAAGACTTAGACAATAACTCACTTATCCTGAGTTTTGGCCCATGTACTCATTCAGTAACACTTGTCCAAGCCTCCGTGTTGGCCAGTTCCCTCCACTTCACTCTTGGCTGTCGGCAGTCCAAACCCTTTATTTATTTCAAGAGGCCCCTGGCTATAATCTGTGCCTCCCTCTTGTCTAACCATAATATTTCTTAACCATGGCCTAGACCCAAGCCCCACCCCTCCACCCCTAAACAACCTTAACATTCATTAACGTGTTTATAAAAGGCCACCAAGGAATGCCAAGGCTCACATGACAGAATCCGTCCTCTAACTCAATCTCTTCATCTAGGTAAGAGGCAAGTTCTTTCTTTTTTAAGATTTTATTTATTTATTTGAGAAAAGGAGCACACAGAAGCAGGGGGTGGGGCAGAGCAAGAAGGAGAAGTAGACTCGCCGCTGAGCAGGGAGCCCAATGTGGGGGCTCGATCCCAGGACCTTGGGATCATGACCTGAGCTGAAGGCAGACGTTAAAGTGACTGAGCCCCACCCAAGCACCCCAAAAAGCAAGTCCTATGCATGCAAAAGTCTCCAGACCCAGGGGCAGAGCAAGAGGGAGAAGTAGACTCCCCGCTGAGCAGGGAGCCCAATGTGGGGGCTCCATCCCAGGACCTTAGAATCATGACCTGAGCTGAAGGTGGACACTAAAGTGACTGAGCATCCCCGGGTACCCCAAAAAGCAAGTTCTATGCATGCAAAAGTCTCCAGACCCAGAGCCTCGTCTTCAGATGAACCTGCTCCATCCAGTCTGGCAGGCTATACTACTTCCTGACAGATTTATTCATGGAAGAATAGTGGAGAGGTGAATGTCTACCAGAATCTTTGGAGCCCATGTTAGTATGCAAAAATCGGTACCAAAGACCCACTTCAACAGGGTTAAGAGAGCACAGTACACATACATTAGATCAGACTATGGCTACTCCGTTAACATCAGGAGAAGGCTTAGCCCAGACTCATTGGGAAAGCAGGTGTCAGAACACAAGGGAAGTGTCAGGAGTCTGCCTGCATTTGTCTCTGGTGAGATGCTAAACTAATTATGGTTTATCTAAGAGATGAGCTCTCATTTAGACGGAATAAAGGGAAATGAGGCAGTGAAGGAAGTATGAGAAGAGAGAAGAGACTTCACAGGAAAGAATGCAAGGAAGTGGCAATCAGGGCATATAAATTTCCCTTTGAAGAAGAAGGGACAGCGGGAGCAGGAAAAAAGCACGGGCATGAACTGTGTTGAAAGCTGTGTAATAACCAACATTTTAGGACAAATCTAATTTTTTTTTTAATTAAAAAAAAAATTTAAAAAGCACCTCATCCACATTATCCTGTTGAAATTCACAAATAGTTTATGAAACAGGCAAAAGTTATCACTATTTAATTACCATTTTAGAGAGAAAAATTGAGACTTAAGGAGGTTAAATAATTTAAGACTTGAGTTTCTTATTCTCAGGTTCCAAAACCCAAAGTCTTTCAACTACCCCAGTGGGTCCCAAACAATATTCTGGAAGTCGCCAAAATAAGAGTACGTCCATTCTATGTCATTTCACTTACATAAAGTTCAAGATGTAAGGCAAATAAATGTTATGGTGATAGAAATGAGGACAGTGCTTTTCTGGAGGTGGTGGAGATGAACTGGGAAGGGACAGGAGGGAACTTGCTGTCCTCTCTCAATCAGGATGTAGGCTACATGCACGTACACAGTTCTCGAATCCCATCGGACTGTGTAAATTTGCAGCTGTGCATTTCCTGTGTGTACATTTCACTGAACAAAAAGCAGTACTAAATTACAGAACCTATTAAATTCAAAACCTGAGATCTTAAAGTATATGTTCATCCCCCTATAGGTGTTAAGTTTCTCGCTTATCTTGTGTCTAGAACCACTTCACAGAAAGCTCTTGTCTCTGTCATCACAGCAGTACTTACAATAAAATTTGGGTTCAACACATAAAAACTGAACAGTGCAGTTATTATTCATGTTGGAAATTTGCCAAGAGCTTAAATTGAATATAATCAAAATGCATCAGGGGAGCAAGCCCAGTGAGGAACATCACCTGTCATGTTTTAAGGTGTTGTAAGTAGATGCATTGCTTTCACTTGGTACAACTGCTTTTGTTTTGGGCAAAAGGGGGAGAAGAGTTGACACTTTTATATGGTTGGGTCCACATCCTTCCCATCCCTTGGGGTCTAGATTCCTACAGTGTAAATGTTGTTTGGAGTAGCAGCCACCAGGTACTTCTTCTTTATCTAATCAGAAATTGCCATAGTCCCCACCATTCCCTACTGCGCACTAAAACTCCCTCACCTACTTATATGTACTGCCTACCCCGGGGATGTTTCAAATTTTCAGAAAAACAGCGAATAAATTGAAAACATAATGCAAATTTTTACAGATGTACTGAATGGCATTAATGATTTTTCTTGATTAAAACCAACTGAATAATAGGATATACTTACTCGCAGAGAAGGATTCCATTTTCTAACCCCGTCCGAAAATCTTTATCACCAAAACTTCTGCCAGTTACTTGCTGAAAAGAAGAAGAAGAGAGAGAGAAAGCATAAATTTTTCTTTCTTAATCAGGAAGATCAGTGATTTCATTTTTAACATTTAAGAGCCTTCAAATAACTGGTGGCATTCCAAGAATGGGGAAAATGTTAGATCTGAATTTCCTTTATGTGTGTAGCTTTGCTGAGATCAGCTAATCTTAAATTTAGGCCATTATTTTGAAGCTTTTTCCTACCCCAATACCTCAAAAAAAGGTCTGGTTCTTCCTGATAAGGATGTTACTTTTGGGGCTTGGCCATGATAGGTCAAGGTCACAGGCTCAACCCACACACTTTCCAAAAAGCCTGCAGAAAGCTCCACCTAAGGATAAAGTATCTATTTGTTAAAACATTAAGGGAAGCAGAGGGAGGGAGGTACAGACACCTAACCTCAAGAGACAAACATCAAGACAGGAATATTAGAGCCAATATCCATAATAACTTGGTGTGAAAGAGGAAAACAAAATCTGGAAAAGAATGACTAATAGCACAGGACTGATGGCCATTCTTGATGCCTCTGGCTCTCAGCAGCCCTTTGACCTAGGTACCAGGGCACTCATTGGTTCATTCAATAAGTATATTGAGTTTCTATGGTATGCCAGATAAATACGCATACAATAAACCTTAAAGCAACCTCTAAAGCAGCAAAATAAAAATGTTAAAGGAGATAAAATGGAATCATAAAAAAAATACTCTTAACAATTAAAAAGGCAAAAAGAAAAAAAGAGAAAAAGAGAATATAGAATACATGAAATAAATAAAAAATAAATAACAATACTGTAGACTTAAACCTAACTATATCTATAAGTGCATTAAATACAAATGGCCTAAGCATCCCCAATTAAAAAACAGAGATTGTCATAATGGAAAAAAAAAAAAAAGGCAAGACCAAACAAGGTGCTACCTAGGAGAAATGCACTGTAAATATAAAGATAGAAGTAGGTTAAAAATGGAAGAAAGGAATAAGATAATAACATGCTAATGTTATTTTTTGAAACTGGATATTAATATCAAACAAAGAAACTTTTAGAAGAATAATACCAAGGACAGAGAAAGCCATTTCATAATGACAAGGGTATAGCTAATCAGGAAGACCAAAAAATCCTAAACATTTTTATATCTAATAAGAACTTCAAAACACATAAGCCAAAACAGATAAGTCTACAAGGAGAAATAGACAAATTCACAACTAGAGTCAGAAATATATTATCTCTCTCCCATAACTTATAGAACAAGCAAAAAAAAAAAAAAAGAAATCAGTAAGAATATGGAGGACTTGAACAACACTGTCAACTAAATTGACTTAACTTACATTTCAACAATACTTCACCTTACAAGGGCAAAATACATATTTTTCTTCTTAAGTTCACAATGAACATGTATTGAGATAGACCAGCCTCTGGGTTAGTAAACCAGGTTCCACAAACTTAAAAGAATTCAATTCACAAAAAAAGCAAGCCATCTGACCACAATGGAATTAAATTAGAAATTAACAATAGAAATAGCTCAGGGAAAAAAAATCTCCAAATAATTTTAAACTAAGTAACACAATGTAAAAAACAACCCACTAATCAAAGAAGAAATAAAAAGAAATTAGGATATATTCTGTAGTGAAAGAATATGGCAATGTAAAAATGTATGGAAAGACACGAAATCAGTATTTTGGGGAAACATATAACACAAAACACCTATATCAGAAAAAAGATCTCAAATCAATGAATTTTGCTTCTATCTTAAGCAAATTAAGCCCAAATTAAGTAGAAAAAAAGGGGAAAACTATATCAGTTGAAATCAAACCAAATAGAAAACCAAAAAGCAATAGAGAAAAATCAATGAAATCAAAAGCTATTTACTTGAGACCAATAAAACTGGGAAACATTTAGCCAGGTTGATAAATCTTTAGCTAATAAAATAGACAACCTTTGGTTTTTAGCCAAAAAAGAAAGACACACATTACCACATCAGTAATGACAGAGATGACACCATTACAGATTTTATAGACATTAAAAGGATAACAGGGGATATTATAAACACATTCATCTCAGTATATTTACCAACTTAGATGAACTGGATAAATTTCTTGACACAACCCAAGTTCATTCAACAAAGAAACAGATTACTTTCCCAAAAGGAGATGTCAGTCCCAGAAAGTTTATCTGGTAAATTACATAAATATGTAAGGAAGAAGTAATGCAGTTCTACACAAACTATTCCAGACAATTGAAGAGGAAAGCATGCTTCCCAATTCAGTTACCCTGACTACAAAAGCAAGACAAAAATATTACAAAATGGACAGATACATATACACATAGACACATGCATACATGCATACACACACACATACACACGCACACAAAACATGACAACACGTTATCTCTTCATGGTGGGAAACAGGTGTGATTTTTATTTTCTTCTTTAAATTCTCCCTATTTTCCTAAAGCTTTCCTGAAAGAAAGAAAGGAAGGAAGAAAGAAAGGAAGAAAAAGGGGGAAAAGAAAAATACTTATTTGTTACTATCTTCCCATTCTTACTTAAGGGAAGGTGAGAAAATGGATAAAAAGTAGTTTGTATTTACAGTTTGCAAATATCTAGGTTTTTTCCTAAAATAAATTAGGAAAGTTCTCCTTTAAAAAGCTGAGATTTTAAATGCAGACTTTTTAAACAATTTAGCATTTTCTTTCTTGAATATACTAGTCCTAATTTATATTCTCAAAGCCCCACTAAAACCTTTATTCACCAAGAACTGATTAGAAGATTCTGAGAACATTTTTTCCCAGGTCTTTGTGTTTTTGTTAAAATTATTATGTTCTAGGGGCGCCTGGGTGGCGCAGTGGGTTGAGCCCCTGCCTTCGGCTCAGGTCATGATCCCAGGGACCTGGGATTGAGCCCTGCGTAGGGCTCTCTGCTCCACAGGGAGCCTGCTTCCTTTCCTCTCTCTGCCTGCCTCTCTGCCTACTTTGATCTCTGTCTGTCAAATAAATAAGTAAAATCTTTAAAAAAAAATTATTATGTTCTAGCACCAGTGGTGCTAGCACTGAGACCCAAGAGAGTTTACCTACATCTATTATAGAATCTCTGGCCAAGATAACCCAGGCCCCTCTCCATTTATTGAGCCATGATGATGGGCAGAGCCTAGAGACAGAAACACAAATGAGACAGGATTACTGCATACAGAAGGCTCACAGACTACAGAGGAAAGCAGATAACTAAACTCGTGCCATAAACAGAAGGTAACAGGACTATTGATATTATAAGAAAATATTAGTGGTACAAGGAACCCTTAAAATATTCATGTACTATTTAAAATTATATTGTATGTGATGCATACCCAGTAAAAAATTTCAAGTAGATTTTAACAGTCCCAAGTCAGCCTGCTAATTAATATCCTCCAAGGTACAGTATGATTAAATTCGGCTTCCTAGACTGCCAGTACTGGAGATGGGAACAGGCACCATGCAAATGAAGGAAGGTTCTCATTTCTGCCTCTGTTCTTCCTCTGTTTCCATCCCTGCTCCTGTGTCCATTAGGTCCCAACATAGTCTTCTTACTGCTCTCTGCTGACCCTAACACCGTCCTTTCTTCCATGCCCAAGTTATTTAGTACAGAGGTGTCCAGATCTTGGTTAAGAGGGTTGACAGTTCAACAGACTCCAGAAATTCAACAAGGACCATGCCATGGAAGAGTTAGGTCTTCAGACTAGTAGCAGCATCTTCACTTGGAATTAATGTTAGAAATACAGATTATCAGTCCTCCTACCCTCTACAAGACCTACTTAACCAGAACCAGCATCCAACAATATCCCCAAGTGATTCATATGAAAGTAAATTTTACAAAACCCTGACCTAGCATAGAAAGTAACGAGCCAACAGTTCAGAATCAGAAGAGGAGGACCATCCACTGAAATTGGGATTCTGTATGTCTTGTCTCAACATCTTTCAGAACATAGCCAGACTCCAAACACTTCTCACTGCCTCTACTCTACCACCTACACCAAGCCACCATCATCTTATACCTGGATAAGTCTCTTAACTGGCCTCACTGGCCTACCCTTGCCTCCCTTCCCTCTAGTCTCAAAAGAGCAGCCAGGGCAATCTCATAAAGTTAGATCATGCCACTACTCCACTTGAAGTCCCCCCAAACCTCCCCAAACTCCCCAAACTCATAGTAAAAGTCAAAGTTCCTACCGTTCCTTAAAGGCATTCACCAGAAAAACAAGCAAGCAAGCAACAAACAAACAAACAAAAAAATAGGAACACATTGACCAAGCCACTGGACACCACCATGATTTCAAGAGTGGCCATAATGAACCTGCGCATACCTCCCCATTCGAAGGGATCCTCAGAAGTACTTATGGTGGCACCTATGTCACCAACTATGCCTTGTGTGTCTTTCAGGAAAGCCCAATATCAGACCCTTGCTTTATGGTTCAGGATTAATTCACTTCCATTACTATCCAAAATATCTGTTACTTACAGCAATGCAGGGACATGCTCTAAGTGTCAGATTAAAATACTCAAGAATGGATAACTTACCAGAACACTGATAGTTTTAAAGGAAAAGAAACACTTTCACCTACTTTGGTGATTAAACCAAAAGCAGAAGAAAGAGGACATCACAATGTGTCATCACACTATTTTTAGGCAAGTAATTATGAAGTAAGCTCATCTGTATTTGATTTCCTTCTCACTGAACTAAAAAGGTAATTATGTTTCTGAGTCTGTTCATGTCAATGGCACTGCTCTAAACCATTCAAATAACTGAAATATGGAGGCCTTAAAAAAAGGCAGTCTAATAAAAAGAAAATCCACACAACTTCATGGTCACATTTTTATGATGTGTTTATAATGTAACACATTATATATCAAAATGCTACACTTTGCTAATTACTTTGTTACCACTTTATTAAGTAATTGCCAAGAATAGTCAAAGACTGCCAAGAATCATGCTCTCAGCCTGTTCATTGTCAATTATACAAACTATTTCA